CCCCTGTCTGTTATGAAGGAATTTTTTACTTCGTCTCCTGGGTCCATTTTAATCTGATTATACCCTGAATATGCATCTAAAAAACTTAATAGTTCATGACCTGCAGTTGCATCAATCAATTGATCTATGTGTGGCAGTGGAAAAGAATCTTTAGGACAGGCTTTATTAAGATCTGTGTAATCTACACAAACCCACCACTTACCATTCTTTTTTGGAACTACAACAGTGTTGGCTAACCAGTTAGGATACTTTACCTCACGAATAGAGCCAATTTTTAGCAATTTTTGGACTTCTTCTTGAATCACCTGATTCTTGAAAGTTCCTTGCTTTCTTTTATTTTGATTGACTAGGGTATGTGAAGGATCTTCATTTAGTTTATGAGTCATCACCTCTGGTGACCTGTCATGTCAGTGTAGGACCAAGCAAAACAGTTTGCGTTAGCTTTTAAAAATTCAATTAACTTACGCTTCACCCCCGGGCTAAGATTAGCTCCTATATACACTTTTCTTTCTGGCCAGTGTATAAACAAAACCACAGCTTCCAACTCTTCTATCGTCGTTTTGATGTTTTCATTTTCCTCTGGTTCTTGAATGGAATCGGGCCTTGAATCTACATCTGTTTGTTCACGTTCAGTTGAGGTTGACGCTATGTTATCCTCAACTGAATTCTGTAATTGCTATTTTTCTTCACCCTTCGTGCTTGAGTCTGCCACGGAGTTGACGTTCCTAGATGTCTGTTGATCTCCCCTGATTTGACAGATTCCCCATGGCATTGGAAATTTAATAACTTGATGCAAAGTTGAAGGAACAATGTCCATCTCGTGGATCCATGGTCTCCCAAGAATCATATTGTAAGCCATCTCCATGTCTACTACCTGGAACTTTGTGTCTTTGATGACTCCTTCAGCAAATGTGGTGAGAGTTACCTCTCCTTTTGTAATGACGCTGGAATTATTAAACCCAGATAGAGTATGTGCCTTTGGTATTACTTTTTCTTCAGCTTGCATCTCACGCAATACTCGTATCAAAATAATGTTCACAGAACTACCTGGATCAATCAAAACTCGTTTCACGTTAGTATCATGTACAAGTAAAGATATTACCAATGCGTCGTTATGTGGAGTTAATAGGCCCTCGGCACCTGCATCATCGAATGTAATATTTTCTCCTTCCAAGACATGTCGAGGCCGCTTCCCGTAGGTATTATTACTTTTGAAACCTTTTTATACGACACATCGTTGATATCTTCACCCCCACTTATAACTTTGACAGTTCTCTTGGGTGAAGGCGGTTTTGAAGGCTCTTGCCTATTCTTCATGTATGCTTGTTTACCTTTCTCACTGAATAACTCAGTGAGATACCCCTGTTTTAGCAAATGATCAACTTCACCTTGCAGAAACCTGCAATATGCTGTTTTATGCTCGTGGTCGTTATGAAATTCGCACCAATGATCAGGGTTTTTTCTGTTTGGATTCGATCGCATTTCCTTTGGCCACCGTACCTTATCTCCGATGCTCCTTAAAACAGCTACGAGTTCAAAAGTGCTTACGTTGAAATTGTAACCACCAAACCTTGCCTTCAGACCTCTATCATCATCTCTTGGCTCGCGTGTGTTTCGATCGTTCCCAAATCTGGATGACGAGCCTGACTCTTTATTCCTTGATCTGTGATCGTACCTTTGATTATCCTGCTTTGATCGTGAGTCTCTTCCTGCAGGTCCCATGTATGGATCGTAAATATTTTTACCGGATCTTTTTTCATTTTCTGCACGTCTTGAACTTACTTTTTCTTCTTTTTTATGTCGTAAAATAATATCTTCTTCAATCCTCATCTTTGTACTGTATCTGTTATAGACGTCATTCCATGTTGTTGCTGGAAATTCTCGGAGGCTTTCCTTGAGTCGCCTCGTAGCTTCTGAACTGTTCTCATTCAAGTTGCTTGTGAAGGCTATAGCTGCCCAGTTGTCAGGTATACATGGCAATGTCATTCTTTCACGTTGGAATCTGTCCACGAATTCTCTAAGCAATTCTGAGTCTCATTGCTTGATCTTGAAGATATCTTCCATTCTTTTTTCAATTTTTTGAGCTCTCGAATGTGCTTTGTTAAAAAAATCTGCAAGCTCAGCAAAAGAATTTATAGATTTTTTAGGTAAAAGAGAATACCATGTTAACACTCCTTTAGTGAGCGTTTCACCGAATTTTTTGACTAAGACTGATTCAATCTCCTGCTTAGTCAGGTCGTTGCCCTTTACACCTGTTGTAAATGCAGTAACATGGTCTCGTGGGTCTGTTGTTCCATCGTACTTTGGTATATCAGGCATTTTGAACTTCTTTGGAATTAGGAGAGGAGCAGCACTTGGCTTCCAGGGCTGTTGAGAATACTTATCCATACCTACCCATTTGATCACGGGCGGCACCCCAGGTATCTGCTCTATGCGGTCACTTTGTTCTTTGAGCTGTTTCTGCAATGTTAGTACTAAATTCTGCAAATTAGAATTACCAGGTTCTCCCTTCCGTGATTCGTTGGGGGTTCCACCACTACCTGAATTAACGAGTCCGGAACGAGGGTTCTCTAGAGTGTTGTTATTTGGTGTGGGTGTAGGTGGTGCAGCAGGTAGTTGACTGACAAAAGCTTGAAGAGCTTTATTGACTTGTGTGGTGATAAGTTTTTGTAAAGCTTCATCCATAGCCTCCACATTTTCAAATTGGGCTTGTCCATCTGTATGAGACCCCTCAGGAGTGCCTTTACGAGACCGTCGTGGAGAACCTTGTGGAGAAGGAACTAATGCGTTATTATCCTGCAGATCTCCCTGAAGTTGTTGATTTGTTTGATTTTCTTGATTTCCTTGAATATTTTCATTGTTGTTTGCCATAGTTAATGTAACAAGGAAAGTTAAGCAAAGAGGAAATAGATTATCAGATTCCCGGTAACGGAACCAATTTATTTAACCAAAAAATAGAATTTTAGTCAAAGCTAGAATTTAGAAGAACTCGGGTTACTGATAATCAAAGAAATGAATAGAAGGAAATAATTCTGAGTTGCAATATAATAATCAAGAAAAATGAATGATATCAATGTATATTTCAATAGTCTTTCGTGTCCCCTACAACTGATCATATATGTCCTTTTTATAAGTACTTTTGAGATTGTACGTTATGCCCAAATCATAATGAGGTTATTATGAATAATTAAAGACATTAAATGCTACGTTACACAATCATTACATTGAATATATATATTCCTTAACGGACTCAGCATTTAATACCCATTAAATGATGTATCTTCACACTTTTTATAACCAGATTCATTCCTTCTGATGCCCGGATATAAATAACTTAAGTAGGTACGAGCATCGTACTACCTATCTGATGTCCCGTGCCTCTTCCTCCTTCCTTGCTCGTGTTTGTTTTACAACTCTTTAATTGTGCCTAATTACAATTCATTGACCATTTGACCAATCCACGTGTACTGACACGTCACCTTATATGTAAAATACAATTTTCCCCAATACATTGTGCACTCACATATTAATCTGAACGAAGTACCTTTAATTTAGGGGAACCTTCTAATCAAATTAGTATACATTCTTCTTTTCCAGAAAACTTAAATGTTAAAAAAGATCTCTATGATGACTAGACAGAATATTCTTGTTAGGGAAATATATTTGGGCAGTGCAAATGCATACACCATATATTTCGTAATTATGTCAAATTTCTTGTTTCATGCCAGCCGACTAACTAAAAAGTAAGGATGCAGCTGAGGAAGCTAAAACTCGTCTTTACAAGTGGATACTGAGACAACATCCTAACATGCACCAAGCTTATTTATTTTGCAGAGCCATGCATTGTGTGCGGGCTTTTACTAGTTCTTATAAATACATTCCCTTTATACTTCGTTTTTGCTCTGTGTTGTCAGCTTTGAGAGAGAAGCAGATAATTCCATTCTAGCATATGGATTTGACTCTGATGTGTTTGCACAACGTTCTAGGATTACTTTGTATGCACATATGTTCTTAACGTTTTTATTTTGAATGCATTATATGGGTAGCATGGACACATAAATATATTGTAGGTACTGGTTTTATCAGATGGAGGAGCATAATTTGGTCTCATGTAACGTTATTATTGCTGCTTAAGAGCAAAATGAAACTGGTGCAGCTAGAATTTATTTCATAGAATGTTATAGAAGGGTTGAGTTTAATTTTATTGGTACTTGCTGTTATTTGGCACGTACTCGTCCGCATGTACTTGATACTGATGACAGGAGGGGAGCTAGACTATTAGCTACGGTTTCGGATGAACCTAGTAGTTTTTGCTTAGATCTTGTATTTGTATTATAAATACATTAAATGTGTATAAATATTTAATTGCGAATCGAGTAACCCAAAATGAGCTATCAGTTCCATGGCATGTTCAAAATCCATAAACTTCAAATCCTGGCTCGACCTCCACCTCCGCATACAGACTTATCGTATGTATCTTAAGTATAGGAGTATAGAACTAGCAAGGGATGTTTTTGACAGGTTGCTTCAGGAATATGTCGTATCCTGGACATTGACTACTGGAACTTGTGCTCTCATGGGCATGGGGCAGATGTTCTTGAACTCTTCGCAATGATGGAACAACAAAGAAATTAAACTAATAGCTTCACATTCAGCTGGTTTGACTGATTGTGATCAGCAGTCAGATCTTATATATAGAGGAAAGAAGGAAGCAGTTAGAAAACATGACAAAGGAGTAATTGATTGCGTGAGTTGAGCAATGTGCTTGTATGGTTGATGTTCAAGGAGGAGCTGCCCAACTGCGAATTTAACCTGATGTGAATGTTTTGAGGAGCTTTACTAGGTGCTTGCAGAATTTATGGTAATCTTCAGCTGATAAATATAATACTGATCAACTGTTCCATTTAAGCCCCCAACCTACGTGCTCGCGAAAAATATCAATTTCAGAAAGTCAAACAAGACATGATGGATATTTTTCCTTTTTCTTCGTCAGGCATATATATCATTGGAAACTTATTGATTAGTTCTTCCTCTCAAATTTTGTGCCTCATAAGCAGTACATGAATGATTTATTTAATCACAATTGAAGCTTACATTACTAAATATATGTGAATTTTTTGCATGCTGGGAGCTAATAAGATGTGCAGGATATGCCCCCCAAGTATGTCAGAAAAAAAGAAGGTAAAAAGTAACAAAGAAGTTGACTTGCATTGAATGTGTTTCATGCTGCGAGTAAAAGCAAGTGAGGTTGCTCTTCGGAGAGTTTAAGATTTGCCGCTTCAACAACCTGGTACAAGACAAGCATAAATGGAATTTTGGGCTTCATCATGTATAAGAAAACCAGAAGAGTGACTTAAGTTATAACTGATTTTTCTGGTTTAGATTACCTCAAAGCCAACCTTTTGATACAGGTTTTGTGCAGGTCCGTTGTCTGTATGTACATGCACGAACACCTTTTCTGCACCTGTCAGACAAACAGCAGATTATATTTAGGTGTTTTGGTGATTCAAGCAATTATGGAACTGGTACATCCTAATTCCTTACCATTTGCTTTCGCCGATCTAATAGCATAATGTAACATGTTTCTTGCAATACCCTGCCTTCGAGCAGATTTTGCAACACATAAATTTGCAATATAACCATATCTGTTGGAGGATCTTCTTTCAATGTTGCAGAAAACTTGGGCATTCACCCTTTCCTGTGGAAGAAAAGACTCTCAAATATTTGAAATAAAAGATTACCGCTTTCTTTTTATTTAAGGTACACCAGATCGAATACCCCAGGAAAATCCTCTCCATGTGACAAGTGCCCAATCATCAAATCTAGAGTCCCAACAACACTCTTAAGTACTGTATGTCTGATGTTCTTTTCTTCATTCCTCACCTGTTGATGTCAACAGAATAGAGTTATTAAAATTCTCTGATGATATATATAGCAGATATTGCGTTTTGTTTTTTTCTAAACTAATGAAGTGGAAGAAGTATATATAAAGCTTGTCTTGCAACTTGCAAGAATGAAGAATACTTTTGGAAAAACAACGTGCAGCGAAGAAAATTTCCAGAACTTATACCGTAACAATGCAGGTACATCTCTGCCCAATTTTTGCTTTACATATCCTTTTCAGAGCATTAAACTCCTGCATAATGGGACTAGAAGACTTTATGCACTATGCATGCGCTTTTCGTGGATAATTGGTAAAATAGCCAACGTTTACCTGCTCCGCATATTTCCTTTTATAGTTATTGATGTATCTGCATTATCAGAGAAAGTTGATTTTAGTCACTCATGCACTCCTTGCTTCTTATAAATGGGAAACCTTTAAACCTGCTACTCTTTGGATCGACTATCTTCATACTGATTGATTTATTGAATCCGTAGGTGATTATCAATGTGTTGCTGGTATATTTCTTTTTTATTTCAACCAAATTATTTTATGTGTAATTTTGATGCAGCAAGATCTTTTATCAGTTTTTAACTCTTGCCTTTCCGAGTTATGCATAGCCTGTCTCAAATTTAAATAAAGTAGGAGTGTGATTGATTGCATAATATAGCCAGTCTCAACATAAAAATAGTCACGATATGATGGATCCTACAAAAATGGATATAGAGAATTCGTATCTCAATTAGCAAGTTCATGAGGCAAAGTTGATTGATTTATATCAGTTTTCCGGGAGCATGGGTTGTAGAATGATCGATATATATGCCTAGTTTCTAGTTTTCTTGAACTCTAAGAGTTTGAATATATGAGAACTTATACTTCATCTTGGAATAGGGTACATACCGATCATTTTGGCGGTCTTCCCAATGAGACTCTGCTCTCAGCCATGCTGCTGTCTGTCAAAAACACATACAGCTTTGACTGCAGCATAACCATTAACTGAAGCTGAACATGCATTCAATAAAGAAAAATGAAACTAACCCAATATTCTTCATCAAGCATGGCTTCACGTGCCATGAACTGACCAAATTCGAGCCTGTTTTCCTGGTCTAACACTTCTTCATCTGGCAGCTGCATTCTATCAAAATGGAGATTTGATCTGTAACTTGCCTCTGACTGAGACTGCAGAACCGGATATCCATGGAATTCTGTTGATAGTTCTTTCCTCCCTATGCCTGAGGAATTTTGATCCAATGACCTGCTTAAACTAATTAATTAATAAGAGATTGATCTTTACTTTCTTATGTATAATAAAATAAATGCGATGGAATTTTCAGGAAATGGATGGACTTACTGACATTGTCCAGGAAGCAGATATCCTCAGATGTCTGGAGAGACTTCCCATTTTAGAGCAAGAATTTGTGAGGAAACCAGAACTCTGCAAAGCCATTGTTGACATTTTTTTTTTATGCTTTTCTTGGTAAGGAAATGAGAAACTTAGAAGGTTTTTAATTCTTGAGCACCAAACAGAGAGGCCAAAGATATACTTGAAGGGTGTAATCCACACCACAACTCAGCAAAGTACCTAATAACCTAAACCATCTAGTGCTATTTTTATTTTATTTTTCCAAACAAGTTCCATTAGTTCACAAATCATCATATTTTTTTAATCTCGTCTAAAAACAAGTTCTATTATATATATATATATATATATATATATATATATATATATATTCTCTTATAAGTACTTTTTATATGGATACATGGTTCGAACCGACAATAAGAGATACAAGTGAACTAATAGAACTTGTTTCTAGATATTCTGGGATTGAGACACATATGATTGATTATAACTTTGTTTGGAAAGCTTGTTTAAACAGAGCTAATTAATTTAAAGTTTAAAAAGAGGGTAACTGCCACAGCTAGGAGGTTTTGTCTGTGTGCTAGTAAAATTTGGCATATCCTATGAAAATTTGACTAGTGGAGCACATGGATTTGGAAAGGAAACCATTAGCGCGGCTATAATTAGGTGAAGGCATATCATTGTCATCCATATGTGGATCTATACCAGCCAGCCAGATTGCTTCCTTGTCATCCTCACGTTACATTCTAATATTTAATACAACAAATGGTATCACCGATTTTACACTACTTTTTTTCTCTAAACTAACTTTCTGAGTTGTCTATTTATCGCAGGATAATGTGTCCACAAGAATTATTCATTTGTTATCTACAAAGTAGACTGTAGTTCAGATATTATTGTCTTTGTTGGATCGATATTGGTTTTTTATTTTAGCAAATTATTGACTGAAAATAGATAAAGATTATGGATTTCTTTATCCAGACAAGGAATGATTGGCACCTTTTACATAATTAATATTTTAGTGGGATGGTGATATGACCCAAGATAGCCAATATGTGCTTTGGATGTCAATTGATGACTACTTTCACAATTGGAGGCTATATGTGTAATTTGCCATCAATTGAAGACTATATGTAATTGGAGGCTATACTTGTAATAAGTGACTACACTTAGTTCCTTAGAATTGGCTTAGGGCTATTTGGATCATTTGTAATCAAGTACCCAATCTAGTATAAATAGCCCTTAATTCTTTGATTTTAAGGGGACTAATTTTGATGAATGATAAATACTCTTTTGAGAGGTGTAATGGTGGTTTGCCATTGTTGATGACAATTTTATTCAAGGTGTGTTCTTCAAGTGGAATCATACTTCCACTTGAAGGTATTCCTATAGTTTAGGTTAGCTTTGTTATGTAATTGTTGGGTGATTGATCTTTATCTATTGTGTTTCAATTACTACTCTGTTAGGTCTATTCTTAAATTCTATCATTTATCATTAATTTCTTGTCTTCCACTTTTAGTTCCGTATCATTGGGTATCAGAGCTTGGTGTTTGTTTCTACCTATACTAGCTAAACATTTGATTTTATTTGAAAATTACCCAAAAAACGAAAATTCAAAAAAAAATTATTGTATAGATCGGACCCGTTCGTGGAGTTGGACAGAATTTGAACATTTGCTATTGATTGGAGAATATCCAAGATCGTGGAGCCGATTCAATTTCGTCTCCACGATTGCAACTTGACTCAACACGAAACATTGAGCCGTTTTCAAATCGTGGAGACATTTCCTAATATGGAGTGAATCGTGGCCACGTTCACCGTCGTGGAGTGAGCAGCAACAATTTCTCAACAGAAGTTTTTGAAGGTTTTGAGTTGGTTTTTGGGTCGGAACTTGTGTCTTTTCATTCCATTTCAATTCCGTTAACCTTCATACGCTAGTTAACACTTAGTAGCTTGTTCCTATCGTGATTAACTAGTTTTTGAGCTTTGTGTCATTATTTTGTACTAATTATCTTTTTGTTTTGTTGTGAAGTGTTTTACTCTTGTTTGTTTGCTTTTATTGTGTCTTTCTTTCGTGCCAACATATATTCCACTCCGACCTCGAAGTGGAAGGGCTACTTATTGAATACTCTTGTGGAGTTCGAAAGTAACTTAGGCAAATACCATAGAGCGGTAAAGGCTTGAGTGGTGAGAATATTTGAGTGACGGTCTTGAATGCCTACGACCTTGAGTGTATACACGAGTGAACTTGAGTGACATCTATATTTAGTGTTAACACTAAGGGAATGAACGTGTGGCCCTTATTTAGACCAACTTATTTTTTTATTTTGTAGGAACCCTTCACTAGTCGTGATGGAACCTAGTCTTTAAAACTAGGTAAGCCTAATACATACCGAAATAATGACATGTTCTACTAACAGCTATTAAACATGAACCAAAAGTTTCTAAATATACCAATAGTCTCAACATGATACAATATCCCAAAACCGGTATTACAAGTCATAAGCCTTCCTAGGAGTAATATTACATAATGAATACATCACTGTTCCGGAACAAAAGAAAACAATGGAAATAAATACAATAGAAGGTGACTTCAGAGCCAGCGAACGCCCAGCAGGTGTGCCTTGAAGTCTCCAGCCTCACCAAGCATAAGTCTCAAAACCCACTCGATCCGAAGTACCTGGTTCTGCACAAAAATATGCAGAAGTGTAGCATGAGTACACCACGGTGGTACCTAGTAAGTTTCAAGCCTAACCTCGGTAGAGTAGTGACGAGGCCAGGTCAAGACACCTACCGAACATATAAACATATGTAGGATATGACATAAAGCTAACAAGGAAGGGATATCAATATAATTCCAATAGCAGATAGAAGTCAGATTACAAATAGTAGTAACGATAAGGGGAACGCGAATGGCAACGAGAAATAACCAAGTAATTAAATAACAACATCGTTGGGCTACGGATGAAGTATAAATGTCCTCAAGTAGGAAAAACGATGTCAACTCAACCAATCAAATCATTTCTACTACACAATTCCAACAATCCCAATTCTTGTAATCTCATATCACAAATTACAACTTCAAAACATTTAACACACATGGCACCATGTATCCACATTTCCATCTCACTTTGCATGATAAAATCCACGTGTGACTCGGTACATAATATCCGTGTCAATTGCTAATTAAGATGTTCAAGAGATTTTATTTATATATCATAAAGTAAAATTGCAGTTTCTAGACCAAGTAGGAAATCAACGAGAAAGATGAATTTATTTTAGAAATCATTTGGGAGAAGATAAATAACATTTTCAAATAAAATAAAACATCGAATCAGCTATTGGAGGCCCTCTTCAAAAGCGAAATGAGGTAGCGATGCCGGGTTTTGTGCCAATTGCTGCTGCAGGGACACCATGCCAACATCAGTTTTGTTGAAGGCTCGTAGTTGATCGATCAGAGCTAATTCAGAAACGGCTAAGGATACGGCAAGAAGGGCAGGCATGCGAGACAAAGCATCTGCAGCAGAATTCAGTTTTCCTGGACGGTAGTGGATGTCAAAATCATACTCAATGAGTTTGCTTAACCAACGTTGCTGCTCCGGAGTTTGAATCACTTGACTAGTCAATGATTTGAGGGGTTGCTGATCAGTGATAATGATGAATCGACATAATTCGTTTGAAAAGCACTTCTGAGCAGCAATTAGTGTTTGGCCAAGCTTTAAAAAACTGGTTCTAATTGTATTTTTCTCAAAAGTGCTTCTCAAAAAAGTGTTTTTGGAGAGAAGTCTACTTTTTTCTGCTTCTCCAAACTGCTTCTGCTTCTCCTCAAAAGCACTTTTTTTTCTTCC